TTGAGGGCAGATGTGCGACGCCTAGGAGTGCCACTATCACAGGACCACACCATAGGGTTTAACTTTCCAACTTCGTGAAATTTTATGAGAAATCTTTTAAAGACCTTAAGAAAGTGTCAAATCTCTCAGAGTGACCAGTCAAATTGGTAGGCCACATTTACAACTTCTGGGATTATCCTTACCTCAACCCATCATTTCTAAATTATTTCTAAACCAAATATTTTGAAAATGTTTGATTGTAAAAAACACATCATATCGAATAAACCATACAAAAGCACTCATAAATGGATGGCACTCACAATTTACGACTTTTTGAATAAATTTTGTAAATTTAAGATTTGAGAAATCACAAAAACGTTTCTCGGAAACTAAAGCAAGTTGAGCAGTCAGACTGGGAGGTCTGATATAAACCTGCTGAGAGTACTTTGACAACATCCCCCCTGTAGAGTTGAGAATTTGAAACTTAAAAGCGTTCACACGTAAAACTTTCTGAAATTTTCTGAAAAATCGTTAAAAACGTTTAATCTCGAAAACTTATGAAAAAAACTAAGCAGACATTTTTGGAAACCACATTTGCAAACCGTGAGAGTACACGGGAAGTACCCAATAAAAGTGTTCGGATATTCAAAATTTGTGATGAAGTTTTCTAATCATAAGGTTTTTGAAAATTTAAGGCAAAAGCCGCAGCCCCTCGAAGAACCCTGACAGCACCTCAACATAGGGTTATTCGGTTTAAATTTGACACAGAGCCAAAGCGAAGCTTCGCACCACTTGTGATACAACACAATCAAAGCATGACAAACTTCCAATCAAAAAATGAGACAAAAGCCGCTAAGTCGAAAAAACTCACTTTAAAAAAAGATGACACGCGAAACAATGAAAAGAAGTCGATTAAAATACGCCTCGATAGAACAATGAAAAAAAGTAGATGTCTCGATAGAAATTCATTCTAGACAAACATGTCCGTGATTTGAATATTAAGTTAGCAACGGAACGAAGCTTATGAGGAGGAAACAAATCCAACTATCTTTGAGCAGCCAGAAATTGAGACTAGAAATCCAGAACTAAGGGTACAAAGGCGACGGAGTTACTTCTAGGCCAAGTGAAAGGAAACTGGAAGTTGTTAAGTGTCATTAATAAAAAGAAGAATAGTAAGAGACGATAATTAAAAGAGAACAATAACACGGAGGTGATGTACAGCTTTGTAACATTTGCGATACAATTAGAGCATTGCACACAAGGTACTGATTAGAAAAAAAACAAGAGAGTCATATTTTTTTAACGAAGCTGAACAACAAACAAAGAAAAACAAAGAAAAAACTTTGTACAAATTTTTATTCGGATTTGACTTGTAAATAGCGCTAGTAGGCATTGAGAATCACTGACAGAGCTGCAACTAAGGCAAAAAACTCGGGTCGATCCCTGTTAAGACAAACGAAACAGTAGTCACACAAAAAATTGAAACTAGCAAAAGCATTTTAAAAACTTACCCACCAAACTGCGCATCATTTTTGACTCAGCCGATATATCATAGACCGATCCCGTTAAAAATCAGTGTTGATAAACTTTCGAACTACTGAACAACTTCAGATTGTGTAAAAACTGCTCGCTCAAAAACAAATTAATCCAAACTGTAGAAAGAAATATAAAACGAGCACCACAAATCCGGAAAAAAAATCTGCATTTTGAATAAATATTTGAAAAAATTAATTACTACATCAAATGAACTAGGAAGTTCGATTTGAAATTTCAAAAAATTGAGCGTGTCAAAGGAATTGAGCATGGCAGCAGAATTAAACATGTCAGCAGAATCTGTTAGAAAAATTGTGCACGTGAAGAAAGTCTAGTTCTCGATTACAAGTTCTTGCTCTCGCAAATGAAATGAAAGACCATTTGTAAGAAAAGTTGTTTTTAGGAAAAGTATAGTTCCCGATTACAAGTCCCTTGCTCTCGCAAGTGAAATGAAAGACGATTTGAAAGAAAAGTTGTTCATAGGAAAAAAGTCTATTTCCCGATTACAAGACCTTTGCTCTCGCAAATGTAATGAATTAAAACAAGCTTAAAAGTCTGTTTAAGCAAAAATGTAGTTATATTTTTCCCGCTCAAACAGATTTCAAGAACATTCAGGAATCATTTCAACCGTTGCAAAATCTTAGAATTTTTGCAATATCAAGTATCACCGCAAAATCTGTTTGAGCATATTATGCTAAATTATATCTATCTCAAGGTTCGTCAACATATTGATCGTCTCTAACACCTTTTCATGACAAAGGGAAGCACTGTTACTCAAATTATTTCTTACCTCGATCGAATATATCTGTCATCTGATTCAGCAGTTCAAGGCCTTTCAAATTACTTCGATGTGAAAAAAGCTTTGATTATGTAGCCCACCATTTACTATTTGCCAAACATGAAAAATTTGGTCTTTGCAGAGAATTTCTGGCTTGAATCAAGTCTTACCTTGCTGATCGTTTTCAAACAGTTAAAATTAACTTTTTCTCCTTTGGCTGGCATAACCTTCAAAGTCCCTCAAGGTAATGGGCTGGAACCTCGATTATTTGTAATGTTTGTTAACGACTTAACACAATGTATAAATACTGGGTTATACTTTCTCTTTGCCGATGATTGAAAATCATTTCCTCAGCCTCGTACGATCTCATACAACGGGACCTTGATTCTTTCGTGGATTGGTCAGTTGCAAATGAACTGAACTTTCATGTCTCTAACTGTAAAATATTATCTTTGGCTACGAATATTTATAGAAGTTCTCTTGGCAATAATATACTTGATTACGTTCATTTCCTTAATAATCCATGTTTTACTCTATAAACTAACCTAAATTGGGATAAATACAATCACATAATCTTCTAAAATTAGCTAAATGTTCAAAAGTGTTCAATTTCTTAAGACACAACTTAACGTTTAACATCTCAAGCTGTAAGCAAATAGACCTTCATCCATCACTTATTCTTTATTAACTGCTTTATGGCTCTCAAGTGTGATCCTTTTCTCATACTAGTTCAATGAAATTTAGAAAGTTCCAGGCGAAAGTAGTTTTTCCTTGAGACATCTTCGATTACTGCCCATCATATTCCAATTGATTAAAGCTGACATAGTTCTTTGGAAGCTTTGCAACAACAGTGCGGAAGTTGTTGACCACTTTTTTTCGTTAAAGGAGCTACCAACAAGTTCTTCAACAATGGGATTTTTCAACATTCTATGCACTAAGAAGTTCAATTTCGATAGCAAATACTATGTGGGGGCTACATGATGTGCAAACGAGCTTATGTATCACCATAAGATCAGATTTGACATCTTTTTATTTGCCTAAACGGAAATTGGACCTAACAGTTTTCTCTTTGCTAAACTTTCAACATTTAACATAGACGGTTTGTGTTGGTATTTGGTCAACTGCTTCTGTACAAATTGCCGCTATTAATTTCTTCCAACTGTTTTCATGTTATTCTCTTTTTCTTTTTAATGCTTCCACGAGTTTGAATTAAGTCTTTTTCTTCTACGATTTAGTTTAAATAAGCAAAAACCTCAAATATGGCGAAGGTGAAGCCCTCATTCACATATGCGATAGATAACGGACAGATATAAAAATAGATTAGAGCTTTGATTACTCTAAAATTATCTGTGAAGTCACCAACAGAGTTCACTCAAAAACAGTTGACAGCAAAGTCTATTTGTCAAGTACTCTCGCATGTGTGAAGATAGCTCCCGATAACAAAACGATTGCTCTCGCATATGTAAAAATCTAGTTCCGCGTTTCAACCAATGCAATATTAGGCGAATACGTCGAGACCAAATGAATAACAAATTATAAACTGAATCACAAGGAATTTGAATTCTAGTAAGCCTTGGGTGCCAGTCGGTCATATTTGGAAGTTTGACCTTGAACTAGAAGTTTAATCTTGATTTTGGGACGAAGGTAATTTTTTTAAATTTCGAATGGAGCCTGCCATGCTCAAGTTTCTCGCGACAACTGAAAAGGCAAATTAAATAAAGACAGAAGATTCTAGTTGCTAGAGAAAGTTGCTAGAGAAATACGTGAGTAAAAACTGCTATTCGCAATTTTACAGGAATAATTCAACACGAGTAGAGCTGTCTTGCTCCTGATAGAAAATCAAGAGTTCAGGAAGAGAAATAAAGAAGAACGATTGACTGGACCAGAGTGACACTTGAGTGGGAAGGTGGACAGCAGAAGCTGCCCAATGGTCAAAAGATCAAAACTTCTTGAGTTAAACTTGCCTACTCAAAACTTCTCGAGTTGAACTTAATTACTTTAAGTCAATTCTAGAGTTGCTATACAATTATCATTTACCTAATTCTAGAAGTCGAGTCGGAATGTGAGTACTTAATTTAAATTTCTTGAGTGCATTTTATGTGATTATGTTGAGTTAAGGCGAGTTTTTAGGTTGATCCATCTGAAATGGATCAAAGTTCCACAGTCCAATAAAAACTAACGGCATACTTCAGTTTCCGACCCTGTTTTTAATGGCGTTCGCGTGTTTTAAATATTTAGAGACCTGACCATGGGGTCGTTCTTATTTCTAGAGTGGGGGGGTAATTTGGTACTAGCCTTTAAGCTGTAACACGGTTTGTAGTCTCATGTCGCAGGTGAACCGAATTGGCTCCGACTGCATGAGGTAGAAAAACACAAGAGATAGTGTCCCTGACTCTTCAGCACATGGTTATAGGGCCTATTCTTCTGAACCTCATATGTGACTTAAGTAGGCGACTGTTACATTGTCGAAAGAAAGTTGGACAATAGTCAACGACCGCAGAGAAACCGAAAAAAAGTAGCTTCAACTTATGAGCTTCAAAAAAACATTTGGCCTTAATAATTATTATCTTATAGTCTTCTCTTCATTATGTTCAATGACTATTAAAAAATGCTAGAATCCTTTTCAGACTAAAGCATGGAATGCAAGACATTTTGGAAACCTTTGAAAACAGTTGTTTTGGATTAGATCATAAAAGGATTCAAATCTTACCATTTTGCACAACCAGAAGATAGATGTATTGTGAAGTTAATCAATTGCTGAGACTGATGAAAAGGTAACAGCACTGTAGGATGACTCAGAGAAACCTCCCTAGCACATTTTGCTACAGATACGATATGCCACAACAAAAGAACCCACAGCATTTCATGTGATCTGAAAAATCGCTGACACTTGAACTCGAAGGTAGAACCAAATTTAGCTGCACCTATGTCAAAGGAAAAATTAGAATAAGATCAAACCTTAAAAAAAAGGATGACGATAGCCTTGTGAAAACTTTTTTGTCATACAGAAATGATCAATCATCATCATCATAGGTAGTTTCTGTGAGCAGGTACACTAGTGGACAAAATTATATTCAAATTTACGTTTGTAGTTCAGTTCAGTTTGGTTTTTTTTCTGATCTTTTAGGAGTTTTGTCGCCTCTATCGATCAGCTCATGATGTACTCCTTTTCGATTAATTAGTCTCAAATTTATTTTAGTCTCAAATATATTTTTTTCTGTCTCTTATTATGTGATATGCCATTATGTGATATGAAACGCTCATAATGGTACGCTTGTAAGAAGGAGGCCCGGGACGGGATTTTAGAGACAAGCAGCGATACTCCCCCTCTACCCGGACATTCCCGCCGGAACCTCACCGTGAAAAGCCAGGTTGTAATCGCTTTCATTCCTTTTTCTGTTATTTGTTTTTAAAATCCATTTCTCAACAATCCATTTTACAATCTATTCTTTCTCTTGTTTTGTCTCTTTTGTACCCTGTTTAGTGAATGTCCTTGCCAAAGTACAGGCCGCAGAGGCTACCCAAGTGGCGCAGGAAACTGGTAATAGGCACCTCAAGGACTAGTTTTAAAATCTGCTGCAGAATTTTAAAACCTGAAGATGCACAAAAATGTGCGAAAATATTTGTTCGAATTTACAATTTTAACGCATTCTCTCAAGGATTAGATACTGCAGCTCCAAAGATGCCGGAGCCACGGTTCACTCGTGCAGAGTTGCAAAGCTAAACGACCTTGCCGCTACTTAATCGCGCTACCCCTCGCAGAAACTAAGCTGTGTTACTATAGTAGCCGGCTTTAATGGTAACTCATCTACGGTTTCAGACTTTGCTAATGATTGGAGATTTTTAATAAATTTGATTGTTCATAAGTTTAACCCAAATGTGCTTATCATCTGTGCCAGTCGATCATATCTGGAAGCTGACCTTGAGGAACACGAAAATGCGTGGTTTTGGGATGAAGTTTAATTTTTCAAAAATTCGAATTGAGCCTGTCATGCTCAGTTTTCTCGCGACAACTGAAAACATCAAAAATTAAATCAGAACGACCGAGTCGCAATAGCGAGAAAGTGACAGAAAAAACAGCGGGAAATTGCTATTCGCAATTTCCGAGATTATAATAAAAACACGAGAGTAGAGCTGTCCTATCTTGATATAGGAGACAGAGTGATTACGAAAGAAGATCAAAATTCAGCTGAACCAGAGTGAACCTTCAGTGGAAAGGTAGACAACTGAAGTCTCCCATTGGTTCAGACCCAAAAACTATATTCTCAAGTTAAAACTCATTTCCTTCGATTGGAACTCATTGATAGAAAACTTCTCGAGTGATATTCAATTATATTTGTGCTAGAGTTACTAATTAGCATAATTACTCTGATTCTCAAGTGTGCTGCTATGTGAGTACCTAATTTAATTTTTCCGAGTGAGTTTGCGATAAGTATGTTGAGATAAGGCGAGTTTTATGTTGATCCCTCCGAAATGGATCAAAGTTCCACTGTCTAATAAAATGTAACTTAACGGATTGTTCCGACCCTGTTTTTAACGGCGTTCGTGTATTCTGGGTATTTTGAGACCTAAGTATGGGGACTTTCTTATTTTCTAGAGTGGGGGGTATTTTGGTAGTGGCCTTTAAGCTGTAACGGGTTCTAGTCTCATGTCGCAAGTGAACCGAATTGGCTCCGACCGTTTTGAGGTAGAAAAACACAAGAGATAGTGTCCCTGACTCTTGAGCCAATGGTTACAGGGCCTATTTTTCTTAAGCCTCATATGTGACCGAAGTAGGCGATTGTTACATAGTGTTGTGTTTTTATGGCGCTCCTGGGTGTTTTTACGGCATCATGACTACGGAGTTGAACCCACTTGACACAACTCCGGGCAGCATGCCCATTCTAGAGCACCGGTGGGACGGTTCAGCGGGAACGCGTAAACCTTCCGGTTGTACCGTGATAGCTTTTTAAGAAAACTTGAGAAAACTTCCTGGTACGCTCTCCGAACGAGGCTTAGCTAACCGAGTAAGGGGGGGGGGGGGTAACTAGGGGGACAAAAACAAGAAAAAAGCATAGAAAAAGGAACAAAAACCATAAAACAAAAAATGACAGTGACTTCGATACCAGATTAGTTGGATCAAACCTTTATATTAATTAAATAGTATACCCATACTGTTTTATAAGACCGATCGTTTCGATCAATCTAGCAATCTAAACCAGTGACCTCAATAAGGTGCCCAAGTGGGGGCGTTGTTAAGGGTTTTCAGATAGCTTGTAACCTAGCCGGACCTCTAGGAGACTTGACTGGAAGAGGTGACCAGCCGAGTGGGAAAGTGGTTCACAAGGACAGAACCGGACCACTAGGAGACTTGACTGGAAGAGGTGACCAGCCAAGTGGGAAGGTGGTGCTGGTGTCAAGTGCAGTGAACGTCAAGGGGACAACCAGCACGGGATCGCAACGACTAAAGCAAGAGATCGAAAGACAGAAAATGAACGAGGCATTAGGTTGCTCGCAGTCAATACCAGAGGCTGTAGCGGGGTCGACAAAAAGTGGAAAATGCAACACTGTAAAAATGGTGACGGGGAAGCCATACGGCATAACGAAGATCGAGCCAGAATAATGTCAATAATCACCGTGGGCGGCCATGAGGTAACGAGAAACTTGAGCGAACCCAGCGACCAGACAATAATGCACATTGATGAGTACGCAGATTACTTGAGTAGTATAAGCCCACAAACGACTTCTAGAGCATTGAGGGCACTACTCACAAGAGGGGGTAGCAAGTCAGTCCGAGTTGATAACAAGTACACAGAAGCTTATGGTCTGCATGAGGTGATGCTAAATGTAGATGGGATCAACATCTATACGAAAACAATGATAACATGTGATGAAGATCTAGTAGGGCAGATCTACGTAGGAAGAGAGGAGTTGAAAGTGAGATCGATTGGACACTGCGCCATGCTTGAGGAAGATGCAATGCACATCGGGACAGAGGCAGATGTATCAGCACATGTGCTCGACATAAGCGGCAAGAAGACTCAGTTACGTGGGTTACTTGATACGGGAGCGGTCTTGAGTGTTATACCAATCGAAACTTGGGAACGAATGGGCTTCAACAAAAATGATTTGATAGACTCGAGAATACGGTTGACAGCTGCAAGCAAAGGGGCGCTGCGGGTCCTGGGCAGAACGCCCATTATAGCCCTAAATCTGGGGGAACGCAACCTGTGGATGAGCTTTCTTGTGGTAGAAAACCTAGATGAGTCTGACCAATTCATTTTAGGCAGAGACTTCATCAGGAACTTCGATGTAACGATTGATCTAAACAACGCAATGTTCAGGATACGGAACCCGGATAGGAGGTACGCAATTAAACCGGTTAATTTAATAATTGCGAATGAGAACAAAGCACCGGTATTCTTGAGTAGGAGAGTGAGACTAAAGGCGAACGAAGCGGCGATCGTAAGCTTGCGAATGAAAAATTACAATGAACTAAGTGACAACAAGCAGGTATGCATAGTCCCAAATCCAAATAGTCAAAGTGCTGCTGTTTTAGGAAGATCCTTCTCGATAACGAAGAGCGGTCTCTGCGTCAGTGTCTTGTTGAATACACTTGACATACCAATCACGATACAGAGGGGGAGGAAGCTGGGATATGCTTAACCAGTAAAAACTCGATATGAAATGACTGAAAACCAAAAACAAAATGAAGTTGTTGATTGTCCCAATCATAGGGACAAAATTTGTATCTTGAGACGATTGAGGAAAATAAAAGGTTCATCAGGTCTTGTGAAATCAATTAAGTCAGAGACAGACGATGGGCTATCGAGCTGTTCGAATTTTCCGGAACGGCCCACACTAGATGAAATGCAGAGTGACAAACCGGTCCTACCGGAAATTGAACATTTGAGGGGCAAACTGACAGATGAACAGCTCGAAGCCATCAAGGACGTACTAGAGCGGAACGAGGAAGTTTTTTGAAGACATAAGGCAGACATCGGGTGTTGTAATTTTGTTGAGCATGAAATAGAACTTGAGGAAAACGCAATACCGCACAGGGAGGGGGCGAGGCGCATGACCCCACACAAATCGGATGCGTGTAGAAAGGAGATTGAAACGCTACTAGAGTATGACATGATAGAACCATCCAAATCACCCTGGGCGTTTGGAGTAGTGATGGCCAAAAAGAAAGGCGACCAGTTGAGGTTTTGTTGTGACTTTCGATACCTGAACTCCGTCACGGTGAAGGATGCCTTTCCCATACCTAGGATTGATGAGAGCCTCTCGAAGTTAGGTGATGCAAAAATTTTAACGACTCTTGATTTAGGCTCGGCTTTTTGGCAGGTACCGCTGAGGAAGCAGGACAGGGACAAGACAGGGTTTGCCTGCGAGTTGGGTCTGTTTCAATAGAAACGGATGCCGTTTGGACTTTGCAATGCCACAGCCACGTTTCAGCGGTTGATGGCACACGCGCTGATAGGCGTGACGAAGAAATACGGCAATCTGGTAATGTGCTATGTGGATGACGTGGTAATAGCAACACCCACACTAGAGGACCACATTGAGAGACTTGACGAAGTATTTGCGTGTATGAGGAGGTCGGGGCTGAAGTGCAAACATCAAAGTGTGAGATACTCAAGGACTCGATAAAATACTTGGGCAGGATGGTGGACAAACACGGCATCAGACCAGATCCAGACGCGGTAGAGGCAGTTCTAACTTGGAAATCGCCGAAAACGGAACACCAATTGATGAGCTTTCTGGGTTTTGCAAATTACCTATATAAAAGCTTTTTGTTGTTCGGAAAAGCTCGGATATCCAAAAATTTGGGGGTCTACAGTTTGATCGAAAATGGATGATTTTCGACAAAATTGGGTGTTTTTTGGATCTAATTGAGGAGATAAGTAATATATAATAAGGATAATAATCTATTA